GGGGGGGGGGGGGGGGGGGGGGGGGGAGGGAATAAACAGAGGGAGGTAGGGTGAACATTGGTGGGAGCTGCCGCGCGGCTTCCTAGCTTCGAGTCCATAACGGCTCCACGCCGCAGGAGCGCATCTCGTGAAGGAGCGGTGCCGGTTATGGTACGCTTATTGACCTTCCTTTTTAAGGGAGAGATCCAATTTGTTTTTTAGTGACTTCTTGGAAGGAAGATGGGGTCGTCGAAGTTGTTGGGATAAATGGAAACTAGATTATTGGAGGAAGAACAGGGGTTTTAAGGCTAGGCTCAGAGGTGCTAAGCAAGAGGGCGAAGGGAATTTTACGATAGCTTTGCAGCCTTAGGGAGGGAAGGGGATTAGGAGAAATCTACATAATTATTGAAAAAAAAAAAAAAAAAACAATTACAAAAGAAATAGGAATGCATTTCTCATTTACAAAATTAACCCGAGTGTATGCTTAGAGCACAGGCAAGCATGCTCGAATTTATACTTATAAAGGAGGAAGTCAAATTCTGTACACGGTAAAAAAGACTGTGTTGAATTGTACTGAATGATATTCATGTGAATACTCTGGCACGACTGATAACTTCGCTGCACTCGCCTCCTGTAAAACTTGCTCATCCTTTTCAGAAATGAAAGACTATGGTGAAAACTTTGTAAATTATCAAAGTTTACCCAGAATATTTAGTTATTTTGAGATATGACCATGGCGTCATTCAACCACCGTCGAGGCAGGTATACGTCGAGAGGAAGTAGTACGTCACAGTTGAATATCGGATCGGCCGTCGAAATAAATCATTGAAATACAAATGTCGTTGATTTCGGAGCTCCATGCAGCCCCGCTTCAGCGCCACGTCGGGACCAACGCCGACAAAAACTCCTCGGGACAGCACTAGCCTCTCATCGAAACGCGTTGATTGTCATTGCCTCCGAAACACCAAAGCTCCTTCGTTCTAGGTTCGTGGAGGCACCTGCCAACTCCCAAAGGACAAATCGGAGAGTCGTCCTCTAGAGGCTCGAGTCGGAGCAGTCGCGTTACGATCGACCGAATGTCGCCTCGCGCACAACAAATTTAGCGCCGTCGATCAAAGCATGAGCGGGCCACCCAGGCGCCTCGCAAACAGCGTATCGAAAAACACCAAGAAACAATGCGCCGTAGGAGAGGATTCGAGGGGCCACCAGCTGGCTTGGAGAAAACTAATCGAAAAAGCACAGAAGGGGATTCAAGGTGGCTCAGTCACCTCTCAATCACGAGTCAGAAAGAACTGCCTGGACAAGCCCTGAACATTGCGCGGTAGCGTCTCCCGCCAGGGACTAGCCAACCCCACGCGTTCCTGCCCCTTTTGGTCGACTCGCGAATTTTCGCGTCCCTATCAGATGCCCCTCCTTTGAACTCCTTTGCCCTGTCGTAGAAATAGAATGTCGTTGAGGAGGAGAGCAAACCAAGCCAGTTTTTGAAGAAATCTTTTCAAAGGCAATAGGGATGGAGGGTTATCAAACTATCTTCTGCTACCAGTTAAAAAATAGGTTATGTATGTGTGTGATCGGTGAATCGAATGAGCCTTATGTGAAGTGAAAAGCTGGATTAACTATGAGAACTTGAAGAGAGGAAAACTGG